CTGCCAATGTAATATGCTTGTTCAAATCAATCAAGTCCCTGTCAATCAGCCAGTAATGTAGTGTTTACATAGCCACTTGTAAGGAAATTTATGCAGACTATATAATAATTGGGCAGTGCACACAAGTTAGACATCAATCATAGGGGATCAGGTTCTTTGTGGGGGTACATGTATGTTTGCAGAAACTGAACAGTATTGAGAGACTCAAAGTAATGTATTATGTTGTGCCTGTACTGTAGTCGGAGGTAACTCTGAACTTCCTATTCAAAAGTATATATGCTAGTTGTTAGAAGCGAGGCACTATGCTAAATTTGTTTACAGAATTGAAAGAAGTAGGCCTTGAAATGATTAGTCCAAGCTAATGCTTGATTGGTAGTTTGAGCAGGGAGGTGACTGGTTTGAGGTATTTCATGTTTTTTGTTCAATGATTTTTATCTTTATCTTTGAAAATGAATAAATCTGCCTATTCATGATTCATCCATGCTAATACTTGTAAGTGGGAGGCACTCCATGCACACCTATGGGCATTTAGCCATGAAAACAAAGGAAGGGGGAACACAATCATGAAGGACACCAAATAAACTATCAGTGACCCCATACAACTTCCACTACCATGACCTCAGACTGACCTCAGATGACCTTATGACCTTGTGGCGGCTCAAGCAATCATCACACTGAACCCAAAACACATGTTGGTTGGTGAGCTGTGGTTTTAGAATTAGCTAAACATAGACCTGAATTTAAAGTCCTTCATGACATATTTTTTTAAAGAAGATGAACTTGTGTTGTCAACACAAGCCTTATTTAGAGTGAACACTGGGTACAAAGAAGACCCAGATATTTCCATTAATTGTTACTATCTCTTGTATTATTGCAAGCAATATGTGAACTTATTGTCTGTTCAAGGATATAAGATGATTTAGATACATGTATTTTCACCAGGAAAGAAAAACTAAAAATCATTGCAAAGTATATCATAAGCTTTTGTAACACTGCATTGTCCTTGAAGTTGAAGTGTATATACAAATTATGCCATCCTTACTTTTTCTACATAGTACAAGGTCTTATGGGGGGGGGGGGGGGGGGGTCGGAGAGATCATTTCCACTTTTTCTTGTTCGCAGCATTTCAATTGAAATTCTTCATTCCACTCATTTTGTGATATAGCTTGCAAGGTGTGAAGGATTTCATTTGGAAGATCACCTATCCTATCTTGTTTGTGTCCCACTTTTGAGACAGAGCAATCCATCTCCAAGAAATTGAGAAATGACACCAGTCTGGATTTCAATCTCAGTTCAGAGTGCACTCCCCAATAGGGTCAAACCAAAGCTTATCTTTACCCTCCACTTGCACAATGTTCTGTACCAAGGAGCTTCAAAAAACATGATGCAGCTATCATGTTTAAAGGGCCCCCTTAGTTTGTTCCATGCATTGAGTTTGATGCTTTTTGTTTTTATACTTGACTGCTAAGAAAGTGTGTGTATGCTTAACACTTTGTAAGTAAGCAATCAGGTGACTGACATCAAGGGACATGGTAATGCGAAATAATGAATTACCAAAAGACACTAGCACATTAACTTGCTTAAATGAACCCAGGACCTCCCAGTTCCAGTTACAAGACCATTACTCTACAAATGAGCCATATTAAAAAAAACACAACTTGTGGATATTTCTACTACCATTTTTGATTCCCTCTTTTTTCACCATCAATCCTTTTTTTTCTCCTCGTCCTCATCCTAGTCCTCTTCCTCTTCCTTGTCATTGTCCTCCTCTACCTGTCACCCCTGTCTCTCTCTCTCTCTCTCTCTATCTCTCTCTCTTCCCTATTCCACCCCTCTACTTACCTTCCTCCCTTTCTCTCTCTCCTTCATCCTTATCCTTTTCTTCCGCATCCTCTTTCTCTTGCTTTCATTCCTCTGCTCCTAAGTTCTTTCCCTCTCTCTTTACCTCCCTCCTCTTCTCTTCTACTCTCCATCCTTTCCTTCCTCTTAGAGTCTGACCTCTTTTCCTCCTCAATCTCTGTCTATCCTTCTCCTTCACCACCCTCTATTCCCATCCTCTCTACCGCTCCTCCCCTTCCCCTCCTTCCCTCCTCCCCACCCCTTCCCTTTCACCCCTTCACCTCTTTCCCTTCACCTCTTCCCCTTCCTTTTCTTTTGCTTCCTACTTTTTACCTTCCTGCTTCCTACCTTCCTCATGTTTGATGGTACTAGACTGTAGAGCACTTCTCCCCCTTGAGGACTCTGGGGCCTTGAACCCTCGACCTGCAGACAGAACATAAACAAGGTGAACTTCTTCAGCACAGGAAGTCACTTGCCTTGCCTCCATCTCCTAGAGAAGTAATTAGGTCAATGACCCCAAGTGACCTCTCAGGGAGGAATGGAAGGACATGTGGTCTGTTTTGGTGAATTACTTCCTCTGATAATTATAGATGTACTTTCACCACCTCAATATTGTATCCCTCCCAACCCCTTTAAAGGTACTTTGTCCCATTTGCAGCAATCATAAAATTCTGTATAACTTTACAGGAATGAATATGTCATGTATGTCCTGTCTGTGAAATTTAAATGTTAGCACTTAGCAGTGTCTTATTATTCAAATTATGCAAGGAAGCCTGTTTACTTTTTAGACTTCACTGTCAGACACTATTGAGTGACCGACTGTGTACAACAGAAAACCCAATTATCAATATTTGTCTGGGGGGGGGGGGGGGATCTTTGCTGAAGTGTGTCTTACATGGCATCCTCTTTCACATAATATGATACAATTTAAAGATGAAGTTGAGTTCTGGTCATGCGATTGCATTGTGAAAGAAACGGTGTGGAATCGACCAGAAAAGGTTGATCATCTATAGCATATAAGAATTTGTGTGTTTTGCAAGGTTCTGGAATCATTAAAATGATAAGAAATTTGGCCAAGTCTTGGTAAAGTTACAAACACTGTACACAGAAAGATGTATATGGGACTACCCAACACGTGGCGTAAAAATCCTACCCCGAGTTTTATGATGTTACATGACATATTTAGAACATGAAGGCATTTGAAGAGCCATGCTTTTCAGGGAACATATCTTATCTGATGTTCTTCCACACTTGCATAATACGAATGATAACGCTCGCAAGTTATTTTTCACCTCTTCCCAGAACTCAACCTTCTCTTTAAGTGAAATTGTGCCATCAAATTTTTAGAAGGGCTGTATAACATCAAAAAACGTGGTAGGGAATTGTTGTGCACTGCCATGACCAAACAAAGAGCCTTTTCTCACCACCCAATAAGACCAGCAACCCCACAGAGTGCTCCAGCAAGCGGCAATGTTTGTTTTCTCATGTATTGTAGCATACAAATTTTACTTTAGGGTTGTTTTATTCCCAGTGATGTATTTGAGCGCTAAAAATCGGCTCACAGATTGAAAGATAAACAGATTTATAGACATACAGACAGACAGACATACAGACAGACAGATGGGCGAGCAGATAGAAATAATTACAGACAGACATATAAATATTGATACAACATGTAGATATGTGGTGATACATGTGGCCTGCCCATGATAGAAATGTGCATGGATAGAACTATAGAAGGCTTACATGAAATTGTGGCAGATGTAGGGCTTTAAATTCCATTTATTATTTCTATTGATTCGAGCACAGCCCTTTTTAGGCTTTTAAGAAAAATGTGAAGACATACAGTGAGCCCGTATTTGTATCATAAACCCTCTGTTCATTATAATTGGTAACCTACCGGTATATCTTTTAGCAAACTTTATGATCAGTTACCCATCATCACTCATGCAAATGGAGGGATCTATTTCTCCTAAAAGAACTGCTTTTGCAACTGACTTTGCATCCAAAAGAAATTAAGTTCCTTGACCCCCTTTAAAAGTGCTGGTTGCAATAAAAAGGTTGTTTCGGTTACTCATTGAATCAGTGACCTCATTTATGCAATAGGATTACTGCAATTATCATTGTTTTCCCCTCGAGCCTTGAGGACAGCGGGCAAGATGGACAATTTGTACTGTTGAGAGCCAGAAGGGCATTGATCTGTGTTGATGGGTATGAGCTAATGCCTTTCTGGCCCTCAGCATGTAGATGTTAGATGAAACCATAGCCTCCAAGCACTAAATTACAACCATTACAGGACATTATCAAGTCTTTGTCAATATTGGTAACTGCTAGGCTTCAAATACAGTCCTTAATTCAAACTTTTATTAAAAAAATAAAACTTTGCTTCAAATATTGAATGGGAGAGCTGTATAGCTTGCCCTAGAATAATAGGAAAATGTATTTCTATGTTTATTTCTTCCCTAATTTTTTAAATTTTTGCTAAAGACAACTGTAGTTCTTTTTATTTTGTAGAAGTATCAAAATGAAATCTGAAGTATGAAGACTAATTTCATGTGGACTTTCGGAATAAAGAGTAAACAATGACTCATAAGATTGGTTCTGATTAACATATTAGGACACGCCTTTTAGTGCTTGCCTTTGAAGGACAGTGTCAATTATTAAATGCAAACTTTATTGTGCTGTCCTTAATTGTTGCTTCTCGAGGCAGAATAGAACTTAAGCATATACCATTCACACAACATTGATCATAAGGAACTGATTTTGTGTACTATTTCCTTTAAAACCACAAACTGTTTCCTTTAAAACCACAAATTTGACAATTTGTATGTTTTGTCCACTCAGTAAGGATATCTCTGTGATGACAAACAATGCTAAGAAGAAGGAAAAAAAAGATCACAATTTTATTAAGCTCTTCCTGTTTGCAATGGCTTAGCTCTGACCTTGACTTTGTGTTGCCACAGTGTTGCCAAATATTGCCTCTTTGTTCAACCGCCCTTTAAAATAGTTATGATGTAAAAGTGTTATTCTGCACTCTGCATGGTATCATGAATATTCATTAATCATCCAGCACAGACTATCCTGTTTACAGTCACGGTGTGGGATATGAGGCCCCTCCCACATTTTAGGTAGCAGTATCCAGTGCATGCACCAGATAGGCAACTTATGAATATTCATAGCAAGAAACCCTCCAATGAGTGTTTTGCTGTCACTCTTTGTTGTACAGGCCAGGAGCAAGTTCCTTGTTTACATTCATACCTTATACATATTCATGAATGGGATTATAATGAGAGCCCCTAAGGGGGAGATAAGCATTCAGTTTTATACTAGGTGTTTATATCGCTGTGAAATAGGCTTACTCTGGTAGTCTGGTACTCTAAAAATGCAAACAACAAAACCTCTAAGGTAAATAATTTAGCTGTAACCATCCTGGTCGATAGAGATTTCACCCATCTCCCTATAAAACATACATGCTAGAAGCTCAACTTCAAACGACACAGACAGGTGTAATAAGTTATCCATGGTGGGCTAAACGGGGTCTGCCAAAACCGTTGGGAAGAGCACGCTCCAACCCATTTAACCCTGGCTGTGAACTTGAACCAGAGCTTAGAACATTCGCGACACACCGACGACTATGACGACTCACCCATCGTGAAGAGTTGCACGGCTGACTCTCTCCCTGGCACACTGGCACACTGGCACACAGCACTGATTGCAGTCAGTCGTCTGTTCCCGGACTTTAACCGGCACTTTTGTTGTCATCTTTGTGACACTGATGGGGATCTGTTTATGAGCGTGTCAGTATACTATTTGGTACCCATTGAGGAAGTATCAGGCTTATGTTGCTCCGTCTCTCTCTCTCCCTCTTTGTGTTTATCTCGCTCTTAGGAGGCTTCCCTTACATCCAGTTTTCATTATGATTAATCATCAACAATTAGCTAGAATGACCTCTTGATTTGGAGTACTCAAGGACCAGACTTTTTAAAGCAACTCCAAGCTTCTTAGTCGTCGACAACACAATTTAGCAGCCATTATGAGATTTTAATTTTGACAAATTACCTTGGTTCTTGCTGCATTTTGCTAATGATTTGCGACTCATCTTGCCTTGTTAGTTGTCAATGGATTTCTTACAATTGATGATTGTGTGCAGTGACATCTAGCCTTTTACATCATCTTGGAATTTATACCTTGGAAAAAAGTTGAAAAACGAGTCAAGGATCTTTCTTCACAGAGCATCCCCAAATTTGACGCAAATAGCAGAATCTGTTTCGAAGTGAGCTATCTTTTCCCTCCGAGGGTGCATCCCCTAAAATCGACGGGAACAGCAGACACTGTCAAATTGAGCCATTTTTTTCTCTCTCTTGGCTGATTTTCCTAAAGTGTCATGAGAAAGGTAGCCTGATTTGAGGCAATTTGCTCGATTGAAATTGGATAGGACCCATCCAATCGTTTACCGAGAATTGATCTCCATCGATCATCGTCATGTACGCCAACGGTACTATGACACTGGGGAGGGTGAGAGCTAGGCCCATGCACACCCAGACACAGTACAGCACCTATATACCGTCCAATCCTCCGCCGCAACCAGTATATGGTAAGAATTTACACTAGCAAGCAGCTCATGTTTGGAGCCAGAAGGGCATTTAATAGCTCACATCATGTTCATACAGCAGGAGTAAATGCTCTTCTTGCTCTTTAATAACAGACATCATTATTTTAGAAAAAACAAATCTAAAATTAGTAATCCCCACAAAGCCTGTTTGATTCATTAATTTGAATCAGAACCTAATCGTGTGATCGGTAGTCATGTATTCAGTAATATCATTTCATTCAGTTTTCATATGAGGCCATTAGTATTAAATTAATATTGTAAATGAATCAATTTAAATTTCACCTTTCCATGAAAGATATCACTTTTCAGTGAGTGGAGGGAGGAGACCCAGGAATAAGGGAAAATGAAGGAATCTACAGCTGTATAGTGCTTTGTAGAAGATATATAAGAGGTATTTTTTAAACATGAAATTAGTATTCTTCAAAACTTTACATTAAAATCTAGTACCCAGGTCAGGTCATGCATCGGCTGATTGTCACGATGAGAGATTAGTTCCTTATCACATCAGGAAAATGATGAAACAAAACAAAATTGTTGGAAAGCAGTATTATTTATTTTACAGACAGTTAGCAGATTCATGTCATATCCTATCCTATTTTCATTTACAAAATCAATAATGCCCACAAAGCCTTTTGAATTCATTAATTTGATTAAAGACCTATTCAGCTGATTGAAAAAATGCCCAGAGAGTTAATCAATTGTTTCTAGGGCACTAGGTAACTTCCAAGATTGAAAAGATTGCTTCAGTTCACTAAATCGTTAGCTTTCCATTTCTGTGACAGAGTCGACTTGAAGATGCTTGGGATATTTGTACACCTGTCCTGCTGTGTTATGCAAACAAAGTCAGAAACAAAAAAACCTCTTGCTCTCTCTCTCAACACCGCTTCTTCCTAAGTTGCTTTAGCAAGGGTTCCATTGCAAGAATGGCCATAAGACAAATCAATATATTCAAATTTATTCAATTCTTTTGAGAGGATAGAAGTTGGTTATGCCTTGGGCAAGAGATGAAATGAAGGAATTAATTTGTCAAGAGCATTTTATCAAATGCCAGTATTCTGTAGACATCTGTCTGAAAATACAAATGTCGCTTTGGGGGATTCAGAAGCTTTGAGATACAGCATTTTGTTCTATGTTGTTACCTCCTTGTGTATTGAACATAACTCTAATATTTTTAAAGCACTCAGAGACATTTGTAATTTTTGTATTAAGCGCTATATACAAATTAAATATTATTATTATTATTATTATTTTTCTCAATCATCTGTTGAGAGCCAGAAGGGTGTTTTAAACCCTCCATCAGATGACATGAGTTAATGCCATTTTGACTGTGAGCAGACAGTTGGATGACTAGAATGGAGGAAGCCTTATGCCAAGTGAATACAGATTTCACTTCTTGGGATTCAACTTAATTGTCAGTTACAACTGATTATTGTTTAGTCAAGGAGTTACTACAATGTTTTGTCAATGTTTGAAGAATGAACTTACAAATCTCCTTCGGTTATTTTGAAAATCAAATTAATAGTTAAGTTTCATTCTTAATGAAGCAATCAAATAGATGTTTTCTTTTAATTTAAATGAGGACCTAATATATAAAAGGACCTGATTCAACATGAAATATCTAGATTAATCTGTATTGCTCCTGATTTATCCAGATTTGTCCAGTTAGATCTAGGTTTTCTGTGAATATTCACTTCAAATGAGTTGTTTGGTGCTGTTTTTATGTACCTGGCAAAATGTTTTTTTGCCTGTCTCATTTTTCCTTTTTTCTTGGGTGCATAGGGACTTTCTCTACAACCTTCATTTATCATTTAAATTGTTGATAAATAAATCATTTTTGTTACTCTTTGATCCCTGTTGCACTATTAAAAATTCACACCAGACTTTCAGAGACTGCTTAATTTCTTATGCAACTTAACACTTAAATTTGAAATGGACATTGGTATCTTCAATCTCTTTTGTCAAAGCAAGGAGTTACCGGTATACATTTATAACTCCTTGGTCAAAGTGATCCTAAGACTGCTTCTATTTGGGTACTATAATGCAAAGTACTTTTCCGCTGCATTTAGCTCATCGCTGCATGCATGTGTGCAATAATAAGGTCATCACAGCTCAGAATGTCCACAAATAGAAAGCTGTCCTTCAAACTTGTCTAGGGTCAGTTTCGTTATGGGGCCAAAAATAAATGAAGGGGGGGGGGGGGGAGAGTGGATGGCTTGGGGCCTCTGGTTTGCGATTTGGGACAGATGTAACACCAGTTTGGGGACACTTCAGGGATGTTTTCAGGCTATCTTGTAGATTGTTTGTACATCTCTTCAAAGGCCATAAATAGAAAGCTGTCCTTCAAACTGTATCAGGTTAGTTTGTCATAGGGGCATAAACTACCAGGTAGAGGTGTCGAATTGGGGCTCCCTTTTTTATTGGGGGGGGGGGGTGGCTTTCAATTATTTTCCAGGTAGTTTTAGGTGGGTCAGGGCCATTTTAGGCATAAACATGAGCCTTGGTCATTCCCATCATCTGGATTTTCAAGGAAAGTAATGATTTTGTTTTAGGGCTCTTGTTCACAACTGAAATGTGAGGTTCTACATGAAACAACCTATGTACGTAGCATTCCCCCTTTCCATGGGATAAATTTGTTGAAAACTCCTTTCTGGCTCCCAAGTGGTACCAACTTGCTCCTTACATTGACTTACGATGTTTGGCCACATTAGACTGAACCAAAGCATTTACGCCATGGGGTTCTCAGAAACAAGGAACCCAGAGAAAAAAGAATAGGCAAAATGCAAGAGGAACAGGGGATACATAAAAAATGTCTCAATGCTGAAAAGGTAATAAAAGAGTGTGGGAAAGAATTCTTGAATCAAAGGAGAGAATGGAGCATTGAAATAGGGTTTATCCAACTACAATGGACCCTGTGCTTCAGGATATGTAATGAGATATTTAAAAAAAATTCTAATGTTGCAGAAAAACCACATTAAGTTGTGGCTCACATGAATGACAACATTGTAGGCTTTTTGTTCACCCTTTGTGAGTGCAAAAAGGGGATAAAATGGAGGCCAGAATGTGTGGATTCACTGGCATATCTTTAATAGCCAACTTCTTGCATTTCAAAACATTTTTCTTTTGAAAATGCAAACATAGACATGAAAAAAATCTCTTTTCAAGCATATTCCCATGTGAGTGTAAAAAGTGGATAATGGCCATTAATAATGCATGTTGATGGCCACTATTCCCTTTTGGCACTGAATCTAGATTGTGTGAGTTTGACTGGCATGTCAAAGCAAACTTCTTGCATTTCAAAACATTTTTCAGAAAAAAAATAATGAGTCACATGAATGCAAACACAGACCATGATAAGCTCTTTTAAAGCATATTTTGTAAGTGCGAAAAGGACATCGGCCATTGATGTATACAGCCATGCCTATTACCCCTTTTGTGCCAAGTTGAATGTAAATTGCATGGCAGATCAGAGCAAACTTCCTGCATTTTAAAACATTATTTTGTCTGGATAAATCATTGTGGCTCACAAACATTCATGATCAGCTCTTGTAAAACATTTCTTCTAGTAGTGGAGAGAGGAAGTAATAGCCATTGAAGAATGGTGATATTTGGCCATTTCAGTCCTTTTTGTTTGCACCGAGTCAAAAGTTTGAATTGCTTGATAAATCAAAGCAAACTTCCTATATTTCAAACATTTTTCTTCACCCTTTTGATCTTGTAAAGAAAAGAACATTGGTTGTGGTAGAATATTTTGTAAAAAAATGTTTTGTAATTTTAAATTTGCAGATGTATGATTGGTAAACCAAGGAATGCACAGGTTCACATGAATTATGAAAATAAGATTAACAGAAATGTAGTTTTCTGTGACTAGCTGCAGATACAATGTACATGTGCAAGATTATGCATTTATCTTTGAAACCATCTATCACCTGATACAATTACCATCCTTCTACATGTCAATTTCTTGTTCCCATTTTGAAATATTTTTTTCTAGAAATGTGTATGAAAAGGATACTTTAAAGTCCGAAACCTCCCCCTTTCTTTACTTTTTGTTGATAGACTGAAAAAAGTAGGCTGGGTGACAAGTCTTTCATTTTCACAGACTTTAGCAAAGCAGAGCAAAGTGAAAGGAAAGTAAACCTGGGGTACCCTGGAATACTGTTACACTCTGTTTATGGTAGTAAGTGCTCCATGTTTTCCCTATGGTTCTTCCTTTGTGAAGCCTTATGTTACCCCCCCCCCCCCCCCCCCCCCCCCTGTTCAGACTACCAAGGTTCATTGTATAGCTGTACGAAAAACATTTAGCTACCGGTATACATTAAAGTAGGCCTGACTGTTTTTTCATTACTGAAATTGGTATAATAGAACGTTGTATAGGATGGATGTTTGGGCATCGTTAGGAATAAAAAAAAATTGATAGACATGAAGGTTCACCTCTAATGTGAATTTCTTCATCATATGAAATCCATGTATGACAATTTAGTGGGCAGGGCTTTAATCATATAAGTGTGTGTCGATGATTGGCCAGCTGTCATACCAACTCACCGACCCCTTCCAAAGTTGTTTCTTTATACAATGTTTCTTTTCATGTACATGTATGTATGCCCTAGTCTATAGATGATTGTTTATATAACATTTCTTTATGAGTTTTATGTACATGTCCTTTAGTCTGAATGGACTCTTATTCCCATGATAAAATAAAAGATTCTGGTAGATGAGAAAAGATCTTAAGGTGGGAGAGACGAGCTGAACCCAAGCTGAAAGGTTGAGAGAAAATAGAGCTGAAAGGCCACAAAAGGTCTGTTTTTCATTATCCCAAGCTCAATTTTTCAATACTAGCCTGGTCACAACCAGCTCCAGGTAATTCACAGTGAAGACATAAATAGCTGGCTATTTTATTGTTGTACTCAGGAATAAGCTCAAACTATATTCCCAAACAACATCCACGTAGGGCTAGTTCGTGAAATCGTCAACTGTTTTTGGCC